GTGTAAATGGGGTCTTTATACAAGAAACTATGCCTTTTAAATTTTAGATTGGGGTCCTACACACAATGATCATATTTGGGGGCCCATGGTATCTAAAAGAAAAACCCTGATCTATAAGCTATATATATATATATATATATATATATATATATAAAGCAGTGAAGATGCACATTATTAGGAAATGGAATCAGTTTTAATATTCCGGACTGGCTATGATTTCTGACAGGCAGTTCACTCTCCTGTGATGTGACCCTGTTCCCCTCACACACAGTGTTGCCAACTTAGCAATTTTGTTGCTACATTTCAGACTACCCTAGCAACTTTTTCTTCCAAAAGCACCTAAAAATATGCAGAAAAATGGAAAAGGTGCTAGTAATTTTCCAGGACATTATCCGTTATCCATTGTAACCCGAAAACACAAAATGCAATGCATAATTTAAAATGTAGGTACAAAAACGTGTGAATACTACGGAAAATTCCTTCATATTAATAGATTTTGCCCTATTTTTACAGACTTTTCTTAGAGTGTAGCATTTAAAATTAGTTATTTATATTTTAATATTATATTATGCATTTATATTATTTTATAAACACATCTAAATTAAAATATTTAATTTTTTTTTTTTGCTGAGATTTGATGCAGTGACAATTTTGCATCGTGATTACGCAATGACGTAACCGCGCAATGACATCGTGTCATTTAGCAACTTTTAGCAACAAATCAATCTTCCTTTAGCAACTTCCCCTGAAAATTAGTTGGCAACACTGCACACACACACACAACGCGATACTCTGCGCTGCGCAAAACTCCACAGTTGAACAGTAAATAGCAAATACTTAAACTAATAACAAAACATACTTACAGTCGCTGATTCAGAAGCGCCAGATTGTCATAGCAAAGTCAGAATTGACCTTTTTTTTTTTTTTTTTAGAAATGGCCTTTGTGCACAGCCAGCGTTGTACTCTTCTAGGTTCAAAAAACTGTCGCCCATAAAATGCGTTGCACAAATTCGAACATCTGGGTTGTGCTGTTCTGTTGTAAATAAATCTTAACCAATGATTCCTAATTGCATGTACTTCCGGAAGGCCAAATAAAGTGCTTTTGCTTTCGCACTGAAACACACAGTGTCTCCCTGACATGGCTGCTTCAACACTACTGTTCCTGAAACCACGCCTTCTTTCTTTGCGTGCACATTTGGGTGGCATGCTAATATTTCCACATAGTGATGTAGACATGTGGGGGCGTGTTAGAACGAGCCGCTTTAGGTAGGCGTGGCTGACTCTTTAACTTTTATAAAGAATATCTCTTTGGATTTGAGACTTTAGTCTTTGCAACTTTACAGATCTTCTTTATGCACCAAGAGCTTGTAACACTCCAAAGAGAAAGGAAAAATTGAAATCGCATCATATGACCCCTTTAACCAGCTCTACCGTTAGATGAGATCAGTAATATTAGGGAAAATGTGAACTGTACAGCATTGAAGCAGAGACACTATACTGCATATTGTATACAGTATTCTCTATTCTTCTTTCAGGAATAATAGCCCATTTATATAGGCCTGATGTCATGTGACTACAGTAGGATGAAATCAGACAAGAACCCAATTCAAAACTGAAAGATGTCTTCGAAACATGAGTCAATATATGTAGTATGTTCCTCAGCTAGACTTTTTTTTCTATAAATAGTCTTACACAGTCAATTGTGAAGTACAGTTTTACACGAATGTTCAGTTTTTAAAGAAAAACACACAAAGATCAACTCAAAAACCAAACCAAAATATTTTTTGTTGTTGTGAAGTACTGGATGGTCATATTCTCCTTTCCTTTTGCTTTTAAAGTTTAAATACTTTACTCAAGATATAATGAATATGACCCTTATTCCAAGTTTAGCTTTTTCTATGGTAGACAATAAACCCTAAGGTTCAGTTTATGATACCATTGTGCTAACATACCCCTTACAGAATCAGTAAAAAGTCCTAAAATCATAAAAAGAAGAAATATAAATAGAAAAGAACAGTATACAGCTGCTCCGGATAAACCAGTAACTCGCGCACAACTATCACAATAGACTACAAAACCTGCAGAGGCTTTAAAAGAGTGGAGTACAATCACACACACACAGTACATTAATCTTGTTGTCGTAAATCTCAATAAAAAGAAAATAGATTATGAAAATAATTCATAAACAACTTTAAAATATTTTAATCTTTATTTTACATCACTGTGAAACAGAGTAAAATTTCTTCTCTCAATGCAACTTTAAACTCAACTATTAGTATCACTTTTGTTACAAATTCACAGAGAGGTACACTAAAATATAAGGGGTACATTGCTTACCGCCACATCTATATGGAGAGAGCTGGAAAAATAGAGGGTTTCTTTGGAAATACCATTCACATCTTCTGACATGCAACACTCAATCACACCATCAAGACGACTGCAGCGATTTGAAGAGTTACGCTGATTCCACAGATTACTCTGGCAGTGCTAATGTACACGGGTAAAGTTTAAGCAGAAGAGAGGAAGATCTGGCCTTAATTCTCTCCACAAGCACATGCTGTACTTATGAATCTAACCAGCAAACCTGTGACAAACAGGACATAAAATGTACGATTTCAAGTAGGGCTGCACGATTAATCGCATCCGATATTTAACGCGCATCTTGTCAGAAAAGCCGGTTCTGTAATCAGTATGAACGTGGTTTAGCGCAGCTCGTCAGTGAACAACGGCTCTGTGTAGTTAATGCTGCTCAATGTGAAAGCACGCAGGTGATGGAGATTTACCGCTGATTACAGAACCGGCTTTACTGATAAGATGCGCGTTAAATATCGCATGCGATTAATCGTGCAGCCCTAATTTCAAGCATTTAAAAAAATGATCTAGCTCACTCTAACAAAACTGCATGTTTCTACAGTACACAGACATTCCCACTACTTAAAAAATCCTATACCCCCAGTACAGTACAGTCTACACCAGTGCAAACAAATAATCATGTTAAAGGTCTACGTTAAGAAAACATCACAGTTGCCCTTGAGATAGATGGAACATTCCATTCAATTTCAGCTGAAAACACTTAAAAACAGAACCTTGATAAAAAAAAAAAAAAAAAACCTTCCGCATTATTAATTGTAGTGCCTTTAGCTCACACGTGACTCTCATACTATGAATGCATGTAGTCTGACGCTCTGAAGAGATGTAGTCGATCCAAAGGTGTGTGTCGCTGGGCAGAAAG